TTGGCCTTTCTGGCTGATGTGAAGAGCTCTGGTGGAGCATTTTAGGGCTGCTTGCTCCGTGTTCTGCCTGGGAGTTGTAGGTGCTTTAACGCTGCAGTGACAGCCTGCACCAATTCAGAGTCATTGGGAAGTCTCCAGCTCCTAAACCTTCATCAAAAGCACCTTCTAAAGAATGGTTTGTTTCAAAGCTCGAGTAGTCGCTTCTGCCCCAAATAAATACTTGTTTTCAATGCTGAGGAGAGGAAATAGGGTAGAAGAGTGGTGGGTCCAGACAGAGGTGGTTTTGTTCTTTGCTCATGGAAGGCCCAAACCGGGTGATCTCGGCTGAGGAGCAAATGTTCCTGCCCGTTGTCACTGTGGCTGCTGGCACCTCTCTGGAGTCGAAAGCTCAGCTTTGGCTTCAATAGCTGTGGATTTCCATGGCCTTTCCAGGGCTCTCTCCCCGAGAATGTTGTATTTGAATGGCAAAACTGTAATTTTCAAGTCTCAGCAGACTCGCTCCCGTCTCAGGCTGTGTCCTCAGCGTCAAATGAGGTTGTTGGGAGGCCTTAAATTGCAGATGGAAATTGCATTGCAGGGAGACGGTGGTTTAATTCCATAAGTAATAGATGTGACACTAAAAAGAATATTCAGGAGGCTTTTTACTGCTGTATTTCTGGTAGGAGGCAAATGCAAGCCTTGAAATAGTGGAATGTCTTGGGAGAAGTCTTTTTGTCTCTGCCTAATGCGCGGTGGTTCTCTCCTGGGCCAGCTTTGGCTAATGACTGCCAGGAAATTTCACACACAGGCCCTGGAAGTTGTGGCTATATTCAAAGGTATTTATTTCCCCTGGGATTTATATATCTTGCTACTAATGAACTTTGGGACGTGGAGGTGTCTCTTGTGAGTCTGTCGCAATGACACACTGAATATATTTGCCTTGGTTTTGCTCTGTTGTACTTCGCAGAGTCTACGTGGTGTGTTTAAGATGAACGTGGAAGTGGAAATCAAATCCTGAAGCTCTGTTCAGGTCTGCATCCAGGTCTGCACAAACCCAGTGTCCTCCTGGGTTGGGATCTAACCCTTTTCTTGTCATCCTTTGCCCGGTCGTGCTGTGAAGCTGGAGGAAGCAGGGGAGGGAGTTTGCCTATATTTGGACCACGCTGCGTGGGCAACAGAAACATGAACTAGTCATAACCAAAGCATTAAAGAGGAACGTTGAGTTTGGGCATTAGCAAGCCTGAAATGTATGAATTTGAAACGATTTCTGTTTGTTCTCAGTTTTGTATCTGGCTTCTGAGGTGCAGCAGCTTTACCCAGCTGGGACTGCACGTGAGTGGGTGTCCAAAGTGCCTGCTCGTGATGGGGGGGATGGTCAGCAGGATTTGATGGTTTCTCTGTATATTTATTGCAATTCTTGCTACTGATTTTAAATGTTACATTCTGGAAATCATTCCCTCATTCCAGCAGAAGTAAGGGGAAGCTTTCATTTGCTGTGCTCCACGTTCGAGACTCTTTAGCAGTCAAGAAAAGAGGCAAATAGACCAGTCAAAAAACCAGGCAAAGACCAAGTATAGGCAAATATTTTCCATAGAACACTGCCTCCAGTATAAATTCCAGTAAATGCAGAACAGGGCTTCTCGAAACAACATATTCCTGAATGATCTATGTTTCCCTGAAGGAACGGGGAGGTTTCCAGCTGGTTACTTGACCTCAGGATTTCAAATGCCATTCCGGCTCCTCTGCAGGAAGATCCCGTCCAGCTTTTCCACTAAAGGTTTTTAAAACCTCAGGTCAGCTTTGCTCATACCCAATAATGTAAAATTAATGAAATCCTTTCAATTCTTGTGTGTGCTGTCAACACTTTCTTGTTCCTCCTACTCTTTACTCAAGCTTCCATGTGCCAGATCTGGACTATTTCAGTGTGAGGAGCTGTGTGTGCATTGCCACTGCCTCCCTGAGCTCTCGGAGCCCATAGCAAAGGTTACAAGCTCTCCTCTAGCATGGGAAGCTCCAGGCTGATGGAGCATAACACCATGCTAATAAAAGACACATGGGTTTGTGGGAGCTCTGGGGATAAGTGTTTGGGGTTTTGGTTTGATCTCATGACTTCTGCAATAACGTTACAGTATCTGGAGGACCATCTGATGGAAAGCACCCGGGTCTGTGGGCTTTGATTCATGTTGGCAGCCCAGAGCCAGAGCTCTGTGTGAAAACTTGCTGCTTTATTTCTCCACCGTGCCTAAAGAATGCAGCAGGAGATGTGGCAGGCATTGAACTGGGCACAGCAGTGTGGAAATGCTCTTTCCAGACAGCAAATAAAGGAAGCTTTATGGAGGAAAGTGCTGGGTTATCACCTGACGTAACCAGGGTCTACTCAGGCCACTTTTGAGGGTCAGGTGGAGATGGTGAAGCTGGCAGTTGAAGTTTGGGTAGATCTCGAAGTGCAGCCACACATCTGTGGCTCGGATCTTCCTTTGGAAGTTATTCCTGTGGAGCTTTGGGGCAGTGGCAATGCAGGAAGGACTCTCCAGGTTGTTCAACAGTTCATATTCTCTTGCAGTGAGATGGGAGGAAGCTTTTGACACTCTTTTTCTCGCAGATCCACTGGCGAAGTCGTGGCAGTGATTTGCCAACCCCTCAGTCCTGCATCAGGAAACAATAGTGAGCACCCAGCAGGGATAACCTGTGTCTCAGGTGGCAGCAGCTGGTTCAGAACACTTGAACTGTTAGGTTTGTCTTTATCCTCATCTGCTCCCAGTAGCTGCTCTTCAATACAGTGAGTCTCGTGGAGGAATAGAGCTGAGAGCTGGAGGACGGTGGGGCTGTGCGGGTGGCCCCGCTGCTCAGATCTCTCTTGTTTTGCCTTGCTTGAACACAGAGGTGAGGTTTCAGCAGCAGCCTTGATTTAGCAAAGATTTGCTGACCCCCCCTAGGTAGATTCACATCCTGAATTAGGTTTGGGTGTTGCATGTTTCCTCTTCCATCAGCATTCTCAAATGACCTGTAGCCAAGGCGTGGGGCATGAGCAGAAGGGAAGCGATGCCTGTGCAGGTACAGGGTGGTGTTGCTGAGGAGCCAAGAGCCTTCCTCTTGCCTCCCTAAAAGTGGACACTCGGACATTGCAACAACTCTCCAGCATCCATCTGTTCCCTGGGATCCCTTCTGTGGAGCGTGGCAGGAGTGATGATGTTCCTATGGAGCAGGTCACCAAACCCAACAGTCCCCAGGCACTGACAGCTCAGGAGCTGAGAAATATTGTGGAGGTTCGAGGAAATAAAGCTCAGATTTGCCATTTAACTCATGTTGAAGTTGGAGATTACACATTTACCTTCAAGCCATTCTGTATGTAGACTAGGGAGTCGACAGGTCCTGTGGTTAAAGCCTGTCCTGATGCATGCAGCAGTGATCCACTTGCCATGATCCGCGTTACCTTCTCCTTGCGCTGAAGTCACGTTCCAGATGGAATTGCAGAACCTCCCGGATCTGTAATGAGCTGGACAAGATCCACGTGGAGTTTTGTGGCGTTTTTTTCTCTTCCAAATCCAGATTTTTTTAGTGTTTCAAATACTTGTTTGCTCCAGTCTGTTCCTGTGGATTTCTGGCCCCGCCGCACGGCATACGCTGACACCGTGAGCGCAGCGCTGGCTATGAACAGTGTGCTGTGGTATGCGGTGTCGTGGCACTCCAGGAATCCAGGGACCTCTGTACGAAGAGCAAGATGTTGTTTATTGTTTCTTTATAAAGGTTGTTTCGGGTCTGTAAAACTCGCTGTACAACACAGAGCGGGTGCTGTCGGCTTCAAGCATATTCCTGCTTTACTCACTGCCATAAATATCTAGTAACTATTTAGGGTGTGAGGCAGAGCTGTTAAATCGTATTGGATGGGCTCTGAAAGGACTCTGAAGCCTGTGTCTCGGTATGAGCTTACTCATCTGGGCTCCACGGATGTTTTCCTGCTAGTGAATGTATTTCTTTCTTTGTTCATGTCAGCATGTCGTGGCTTAGATCCTTCACTCCTGGGCTGAAAGCATTTGAAAGGGGTTTTATGAGAGATGATAAACTCAGTGGGTTTTCAAGCCGTTAACTCTTGGGCTCCCAAATGTGTCTGTTTCTGTAATCCCATGGGAGTCGGTGTGATGCTTTAATCGTGTCGGGATATACGGTATGAAAAGGACAATGGACTTTGTCTCCTCAGCTCTTCTTGGTGGTTTTCCCCATTGAAATGTCTCTCCTGTAGATGTGGCAACATGTTCCCTTCTAAATGACATTTGAACCTACTTGTCAATTCTTCTGGCCCTTGGGAAGGCTTCCCAGTGGGATCCACATGCCGTTTTCCCACCCTGTGAAGCATTTTCTTGTGCAGCGGGAGGGTGTCTCTTAGTGTGTCTTGGAATGTTTCGTGTGACTTTAGGAAATAAAACCAACACAGCCACAATCCTCCTGGAACACAAGAAGTAAAAGCTTAGTGGATTTCAGGGGGTTTGGGGCTTGCAGGAGTCTGTGAGCACACGAGAACGGAGGGAGAGGCCGTTGGCTGAAATGGGCAAGGGAGCAGCAGGACTTTGCAGTTTGCTTTTCCAGTGAACTGCCAGCTTTCTGCTGGAAAAAACATGCTGGAAAGCTGCTCAGGCCTACAAGTGGAACAGACTTTCCCCTCAAATACTCACTGGTAACTCACAGCTCACACAGCTGAGCTGCTCCCTGCCGGAAACAGGGGGCAGGAGGGAACTTGGTGTTGCCCATCAGGTGTCATCTCGGAGCTGCCCCTTTCCTGACAGGAGGGACCATTGAGGAAGTTACAGTTTAATCCTTTTTTCTAGGTACAAAGCACTGTTTCAGGATTTTGTGTGTTTTGGGGTTTTTTTTTGCTTGGAATATACTTCCCCAAAGCTTTTTCCTTTAAAAATAGGCAAGTAAAAAGCACAGGTGAAAGATCCAGTCAGTGGGTTTTGGCAGCGAATGTCGGAGCTTTAACCTTCTCTAAGGTAATGTCTCTTTTTTTCCACTTGTTTTTGTAGGATGCTGTGACATCAAAACCAGTAATCCAGTTTCAAGGAAGCCAAGGGGTAAGTTCCTGTGTGGGTTGTCTTGGAAAGTTCCTCGCTGGCTTGTACAAGTAATCCAAGTGAGGTGTGTGTTCTGGTGCCTGTCCTGTCCCTGTGCAAAGAAGGATGCTCTGCTTTCTGCAAGGGAGAGATGTGAAGTTGTTTTCTCCCCTTGCTACATCCATCACACCAGCAGCACCCGCGTTGCTGGTGGGGGATTCTGGCTCTATAAGGCCATGCTGTTGGGCAGAACAAGGCAAAGGCGAGTTTGCTGGTGGCAGCACTGTGGTGGGTGCAGCGATCCATGGAAACCCCGTGTCCCGAGGAAAGGCCATGTCTCCTGGTGCAGGACTTCACGGGTGCCAGTTCCTGCCAGAGGCTGCTCTAAGTGGAGCTTTATTTAAGACACACATCTAAACGCCCGTGCCATGTCTGTGAGTACCACAATATTGTACATGGAGGAGTTTTACTTCTCTAACTTCTGTGCCGATGACTGAACTCCTCCAAGATTATTGATACTCGAAACTGTCCTGGCAGTCACTGGCAATGCTGAGATTTAACTGGTCAATAACACAACTCCTTAGTGAACCTTAAAATGACATTTATGCACCTTTTAGCTACAAAAGGTGCATGTTTACCTTTAGTGCTCTGCATGAGAAACCTGGAGAGGGGCTTTGGACAAGGGATGTAGGGACAGGACAAGGGGAATGGCTTGAACCTGCCAGAGGGGAGATTGAGACGAGCTCTGAGGCAGAAGCTCTTCCCTGGGAGGGTGCTGAGGTGCTGGCACAGGGTGCCCAGAGAAGCTGGGGCTGCCCCATCCCTGGCAGTGTTCAAGGCCAGGTTGGACACAGGGGCTTGGAGCAACCTGCTCTAGTGGAAGGGGTCCCTGCCCCGGGCAGGGGTTGGAGCTGGGTGAGCTTTAAGGTCCCTTCAACCCAACCCAGGCTGGGATAAAGAAGGGGATTGTTTTGTTTTAAAGAATCTGAACTCAGCTGTAAGTAACTCCTTAATTTATTATAGTGGTGCAATAAACCTTTCAAAAAGGCTTGAATTAAGTAAGCACTAAAGTCTAGTCCTTGCCCATATTTTACCTTGGGGTATTAATCTTTGCATTCTAACAAAACCTTGCAGGAAAGACATGATTGTTATCAGAAGTTAAGAAGAAAAATCCAAACTTTCTTGTCCTGGGAAATAAAGCAAGGAGCAATTTCCAGGTTTCTTTTACTTTGTTGACAATGAAACTTGCCGGAGAGCTCAGCCGGAAAGCTTAGATAAAAATCTGCAACTGCACTTGGGCAAAACGAGAGGCGAGTGACAAGGAAAACCTTTCAGGCTGTGTGATTTGTTGTTACTAGATGAGCAAACAGCTCTGCATGTAATGAAGGGGCTGCAAAGGCTTCCCTTTCCCTTTGTAGAGCACCTTGTGAGGATCTTCAGCCAACTCTTCCTGTCAAACTGCTTAAGTTCTAGAAATGCCTCTTCTCTTGCTCAATCTTCCTCCTAAAGGGAAATGTAGGAGAATGAATCAGAGCAGCTGAAAACGCTGCTGTGCCTCAGCCCCGGCGCGCTCCATGCAGTGGGGTTCACACGGAGCTGAGATCCAGGGTTGTCAGGTAAACCCAAAGAAAAGCAGTTTAAGTGGATGCAGTTCCTTAGAAGAATGAAAGATATTTTGAAACTGTAGTTACTTTATTAAAAAAAAAAAGAAAAAACCCCAACCCAATCCTATTTAATGCACTGAATTGTATTTGAGCCCGTCGCTGCCGGAGAAGCGTGTTTTGGTCCCTGGTGGTTCCAGTCCAGGGGAAGGCAGTGGGGAGAAGCAGCACGGTTACATCCCATGTGCCACTTACAGAGCATCGTGGGTGAAGGAGGACGTTGGCAACTCAAGCTGACCTCTGCTTGCCTCATCCTCAGCTCTTTCATTAATTGCACCGTCGAGTAAAGGGCAAAGGTAGAGCTTTGAGGAAAGTGAGCTCCAGCTTGACAGGGGCGGATAGAAAGAGCTCTTTGTCCTTTTAGTGTTATTTTTACTGGGTATGACAAGAAGCTGCAGCTCAAAACCATCTGGGTTGAAGTGTAGTAGTCGCATCGGTCAGGATTGTGCCCTGCTTTGAGGAATTAGCACTGGGGCTTAAATGCTCTCCAGTGACCCAGCAATGGGACTGGAAGGATAATGTCAGGGATGTAACAAGGTCTCAGATTCAGATGATGACATTAAAAGACATTTGTTTAGGTGCTTGGTTTTGGAATACACTTTCTTCCTCTCTACCTTAATTCCCCAGTATGTTGCCTTCCTGCTTTGCTTCCTGAGAAATATTGCTGTGGATATTTCCCATTAATGCTGGGGGGTGGTAGCTTTTGGATGGAGCACAAATGGCAGCGTGTGACTTCAAGCAGTGTCCAGTGATAGGAGATTTCAATAGTGGGACTATTCTGTGTAAATACGCCCCTTGCAAGAAGGGAAAACTTAAAGTACTTGAGGATTAGGGGAGGCAGGACATAAGAGTTTAAAACAAACCCCTGCTTAATTTAATTCTCTAGAAGCCTTTAAATTACTGTGTCCGTCTTTTTTACCTGTTCCCAGTGTTAGTCTGAGGAATGCTGTCAAGGATGCTCTTAGCTTCTAAGACACAGCTTAATACTCAATTAACCAGGGAAGGGAATTTCTTGGGAATAAAACAGCAGGTCAGGGAGTTGGCAGCTTGGCCAGAGGAGCATGTCGGTGGTTCTACCCCCAGAAAAAAGCTGTTGCAGTGCTTGGATCCTGGTCTTCCACATGGATCCTGGTCTCCCTCATGGATCCTGGTCTGGATAGAGGCTGGCAGGAGTTTCCCAGTGTGGATGGCGAATGATCTGTGCCTGGTCTCATTTCTTCACAGCACTGCTGCTCTTGTCCCTGCCTCTTTCTCAGCACAATAATCTGTGCAATAATCAGCATTTCAACAGTAGTAACAGGGTTGTAATTAGCCAAGTGTTGCTCTGCTTTGAGCCGCTCAAGTGGGACTCTGTGGATAGGCCTTAAGAGCAGCACCTGCTTGTTCCTATGTCATCAAGCTGGGTTTTCTTGGATAGTTCTGTGCAGTTTAATGCAATCTTGAGCATTTGGCTCATTTCAACGTGTGTGCAAATGAGAACGTAAGAGCTGGAGCACCAAAGCGTTACAAACGGTGGTAGATGGTGCTTGTAACCGTGCAAGAAAGGCTGAAGAGGCTTCTGTTTCAGTAGAAGCATGTGCAGAATTCGAGCCTGGGTTGGGTTGAATTTGCAGGTGCTGATTGGGAGTGGGGAGAGAAGGGAAAGAACTGAACCGGGGCTGAAAACCCCCTTCAGGTGCCAAATACATGGATGTTTGTGCAGCTCTTAAATAGGAGTTAGGAACAAAACACCTGAACGTGACGTGATTGGAAAATCTGACGTTTGCCCCCACTTCTTGGGGTGAACTTGTGCTGGTGTGAATAGAGGAAGGTGAAGTTGCCCTTCAGAACGAGCTGTACACAGATGAATATTGCTTGAAAGAAGAAAACCAGAAGTAACATCTGTACGGAGCTATTTTTAAGTGTCTATGGTTACTGGTGTAATAGTCGGTACCAAAATTAGGGCTCACTCAAAGCAGTTACCATGCTGCCTTGGTGGCTTGAGAAACCTTCTGGTTCAGCTAAAAATAATTCCTAGATAACGGCCAGTTTGCACACACGAGACTTTCCAGTACTGCAGCGAGAGCGTTGCCACCGCTGCGACCGCCAGAGGGGATGGAGACGAGCTCTGGGCAGAAGCTCTTCCCTATGAGGGTGCTGAGGCGCTGGCACAGGGTGCCCAGAGAAGCTGTGGCTGCCCCATCCCTGGCAGTGTTCAAGGCCAGGTTGGACACAGGGGCTTGGAGCAACCTGCTCTAGTGGAAGGTGTCCCTGCCCGGGGCAGGGGTTGGAGCTGGATGGTCCCTGCAACCCAAACCTTTCTGTGACACTCTCACTTCTGACTTGTTTTACATCCCTTGAAGAAGCTGCAGAAACTCCACAGAAATGCCCGAGTCGGGGCTCTGGGAGCAGCTGCTTTTCACAACAGTAAATCAGGAGCTGGGGGGAAGTTATTTTAGTGTGTGAATACATGATTCGGTTACATCCTCCGGGTTTTATTTGGCAGCCCCATCGCGTGATCACAACTCACTCGAAGCAGGATGAATTCACCTTCTTGCCTTGTTGCCACTGAATTAAGCAGTGAGTGAACAGTGCTGGCTGTGAAACCCCCCCAGTCTGCTCCTCATATCCCTGTGACCTGGTGCATGTTCTCAGCTCGCTCCGAAAGCAGAAGAGCATCTTGGTTCTTGTGGCTGGGTGGGGGCAGAGGGTGCAGGGACAGATTAAGGGCTCAAGGCTGTGGCACGCGTTTGGCCGGGTTGATAACAGGGCTCCGAGTTCTTCCCTGATCGCCACCAAATCTGCTCCGAGTATTTTCAGATGTGGACCTTGGGGCTGCGTGGGGGATAGTTTATCCTCCTGTCTCCGGGGGAAGCCTGCCTTGGGGCTGGTCTGCACGGAGGGTACGTGGAGAACAGCTCGGCTCAGCACAGGTCACAGAAGCGCTTCCTGACGTTTCTGAGAACATCCCTGTGGTTTAGCAAAGTGCACGGATGCTCTGGGCTTCCAGGCTGCTGCAGACAGCTGAGGGCAAACGGAAACCACCTAGAAACCCTTCTGGACCAGTAGCTGTCTTACATGGAGCACAGTCATACGTGGATGCCACGAGCTGGTTTGCTGGGCGTGTATATTTTGTGCATATATGTGGCCATCTGGGTAAATATAAATCTGTGTGGTGGAGTGGAGCCTAAAATAGCTTGAAGCTGATGTTCCTTCTGCCTCGTTTTCTGGAAGCCATCTTCATTATCAAATATTGAGGAGGTAGTAGAGCTTGGACACCGAGATGTCTGTTGGCTCTCGAGTGCAGAGGGACACAGTTTGCTTCCTTTTGGAACAAGGAATGGCTGGGGGAGAGCAGCAGCGCAGGTCGCTGCGGGGTGTCTGTGGAGCACACTTCATGCTTGGTTAACTGTTGTGTTCAGCAGCAGTGGCACACTCTGCTGTGGGCCAGGAGCTCTCCTTGTGGAATTAGAAGCTCCTAAAAAAGAATGAGCGTGTTACCTGGTGACCTGGAGGGTGCTGGGGTTAGTGCTGCATCACTCCTTCGGAAGGAACAAGGTGCAAGTGCTTGAAATTGAATATGAACACTGGTAGCAAGTCTGTTTTGAGCCTGAATCAATAGAATTGGGTCAGATTCTTAGAACAAGGTTATTGTGGGCTCCACTTTGAAAAGCAGCAGGCTGCCAGCTTGGGTCTCTGTTCTTTTACACACAGAGCTGTCTTTTTAGCTGTTCTCTGCATCTGTCTCCCTGTTACCTTATCTTTTATGGGCACAGAGTTGTGTGAAGCTGAATCCTTCTTGTAGCTCCTTGCTGTGTGCAGCAATCCCCATGCTCGCAGTGTGCTGCCAAATGGCTGAAAGCATAGTGAGAGCAGGACAACTGAATTTGTGGTAGCGTGGGCTGCCCAAGTGACCAAGATTTCTCTCCCTCCAAACAGCACATCACGATCCCGAGGCCTGATCGCCCCACGGAAGTGAGGACTTTCACATTCTATCTCTCCAACATCGGCAAGGACAGCCCCCAGGGGAGCTTCGACTGCATCCAGCAGTATGTCTCTAGGTGAGTGGGACATCAACACAAAAGCCAGCCTTGGGTTTACCTTATCTTCTGTAGAATCTTTTCCCCATCAGACTGAACAAAACTTAATACCTCTTCTTTCTTTTTAGTGTCTCTTGAATGTGTTTCTGTGTATTTTGGGTAAGGAGGCACTCGCAGAAGAATCATTTCACATCTCAGCTTCTTTCTGCCCTCTCCTGTATTTAGATAACGCAACCTCTGTTGTTCACCAAAGATGTGCCCGTTTGCAGTGTTGGGAGTATCTCTTCCATTGCATTTCTTTTGCAGCAATGGCAATATCCATTTGGATTGCCTTGGAAGCATACAGGATAAAATCACCGTGTGTGCTACCGACGACTCCTACCAGAAGGCGAGGCAAAGCATGGCCCAGGCGGAGGAGGAGACTCGCAGCCGGAGCGCTATAGTCATCAAACCTGGGGGGAGATACGTAGGTAAGCAGCAGCTGGGCTTGGGGTGTCTCCACCAGCTTCTGAAGTCAGACACTGACCTTTGTCTGCGTGACCATGGAAGTCTTTAGTACCTGAAAGTGATTTACTGGGGTGCTATTCTGCTTGTATTGTGACTTCCATGGCTTCCATTTTCACCCTAGAACGTGTGTGGTGGTGTTTGTGTGGCCTCTGAGGGTCGTCTGTGTGCATTCACGTTGGTACCCGGTGTTATTTCCTCTCTGTCCCGTGCTGATGCTGAGAGCATCAGAAGCATCTGTGCTCCTAGAAGAGTCAGCTACAGTGTGCCACTGCTGTTGTCACACATCTGGGGTGTGCCTGCACTTGAGGCCGTAGCCTGCAACATTTAGGGTGCAGATACAGTGCCCTTGTGTTAATAAGCAAAGAGACTAAAGCAGTGCTGCTCACTGCAGCCTTACACAAGCCATCTGAGTGTGACAACGAAAGGAGAATGTTAGGGGAGGGAAGAAAACTGTGGCAAGTATCAGTGGGTTGCAGAAGGAGCCTGCAGAGACCTAAGTTTGAGCTCAGGTCCCTGCTTAGCCTCAGTCTGCTCAGGTCCCTGCTTAGCCTCAGCCTGGTCACAAACTTAGGGCACGAATAGCGAGCAGAAGGCAGAATTTCAGGTTGGTGTTTTCTGAGCCAGCTGTTTCTCCTGCAGCCCATGTGATCTGTAGCCAGTCTCTTTGAGCACGTCTGTGATGAGAATGGTGAGTTGCAAAATGTAGAGCTGACCCTGACTCATTGTTTTATCAGCCAAGTGCTCAGAGCTGGGACGATAGTAATCAGGAAGGAAATGCATCAATTTCCTGTAGACTAGAAGATTATTTTGTTTAGCTGTGTATCTGAGAACATTACAGTAAGTGGATGGAGTTGTTGGGCTCGTGAGGGAGAAGATTCTCCAAGCAAATTGCTTCCCGGAAAGATGGAGCAAAAGTTCTGGCTTAAAAATACTCTTGCTAAAACTCCTGCTCTGAGACGGGGGCACAGCCGTGTAGAAAGCAGTGCAGTGGAGTGCCTGCTGCATAGAGCAGATGCCAGCGTTCCAGCCAGGACAGGGGCACTGCTCCAAGAAGGAAGAGTCTGGGCAAGGACAGTCTCTGGTGGGATGCGCACATACGTGGTGTGCCAGTGCCAGCACTGGTTCCCCTGCAGGCTGGGCTGGAGGGAGAGGCCTGGGTCTCCCATTGCCGTGAGAACAGGGAGCTCAGCACTGAGAGCTCAGTGGAGTCCTTCCAGGCAGCTCAGATGGGGAAGGATTTATATGAAAGGTTGAAACCTGGAGATCAACAGAACAGTGTAGATGGGAACTAACCCTTGGGTGAATACATGTGTAAATAAATAGCTGATACACCTGCAGGGGATGCATGTGCCCATGCACACACTAAGTGTGTGTGTGTACATCCGTGTATGTGCACATGTTTAAGTAGTTCAACATTGCACGTTCTGGCTTAACTGAGTTTTCTCTCCTCTCGTTGTGCATTTTGGCTCTCGCCTGGAGTGGGAATGTCCCAATGTGTTTGTGCTGTTCAGGACCTGGCGAGAGCAAAGCTGACGAATCTTCTCTTGTCCCATTTCTGGAAGTGAAGGCCAGCTGATCTCTGAATTCGGGGATGTTTAACGTGTGAAGTGTTGTTTTGCTCCCTCTGGTAGCTCAGCCCTGCCGCCGGTGGCTCACACTCACTTGCATCAGCGCGGTGCGTAACTGAGAGCAGGAAATGGGACTCAGTTGTGCAATCTGCATTTCAGTAAACCAAACCCTGCACACAACCAGCAGCATCTTCAGATGACTCAGTGAAAACGGCTTCCTAGCAGTGCAGAACTGCCATGCTCAACTGAACCTCCCAAGTTCTTGCAGTTACGCTGGGAGTTTGTCCCAGGGAAGGTCACTTGCTTGATCCAGGGTGGTTTTTGATTGCGTGTCCCTGGTTCAGACCTCAGAACCTACACATTTTCTTCTTTTGATTTGCTTGTTGTACCTTTGGTAGCAGGAACCTGGCTTCGAGACCTGTTTCTGTGTTCAAAATAGTAAAGCCCTTTGGTTTGTGTTTTCCCAAGTGATGTGGGACTTGGGTGAGGGCTTTAGTTAAAGCTGGTTTTCCATAGGAATGGGAAATACGAATTCTTGTAGGATGCTGTCAGAAACCAAGAACCACATTTGGGAGAGAGTTGAGGAAGCTGCCTCTGAGGGCTCGAGATGAACTTTTGAGGCAGCTTTATGTTCTCACGTGTATGGGAATGTATCGGAGGGCAAAGCAGTTGTTACTGCAGGGTGGAAGGGGTTATTCTATTAGACCAGACAGTGCACTAATGAATAGGCTAACGCTGAATGTATCAGTGTTAGACCCCATTCATGGGGCTGTGTTTGGCAGGGGGAAGGGAGGTGGACCCAGCCCCATAAAGTTCCTATTGTTCTAAAAGCAGAAACATCTGCTGGAGTGGCGTTTGTGCTGAGCTCAGCAGCAGGGAGCCGCTCCATCACCAGCTCTGCTCTTTCCACTCCAGATTTCCACTCGTCTACATAATAATGCAGAATTTTCTTCTCATTGGGAGGGAAAAAATGGTTAGATTAAGCGTGGGGATACATGCACTTGGGATAAATGAAAAGCTGGCAAACAAAGAGAGCTTTATATAAGCTTGTGGCCAATAATACTCAGGTTTCCAGAGCTTGGTGTTGCTGTTTACTTATTACAAGCTTGTCATGAATCATAAAACTCAGGGGATGCTTGTTGCAGATGGAGTGTGCTGGTTGTGTTTGTCCTTCGTTGTCATCTTCTGGCACTTCAGTTGGTGTAATGAACTCCATGTACATGTTGACAGACCACTGGCCTTTGCAAGGTGACTGCTGCACTTCACTGTTCTCATCTCATTTTAGGCAAAAAGGTTCAGATGCGTAAACCTGCACCAGGAGCTTCCGATGCTGTTCCCTCCAGGAAGCGCCCAACGCCAGTCAACCTTGCCAGTGCAATAAAGAGGGGCAATAGTGCCATTTCTCAGAGACCCTTCAAAGATAGGGTTGTGCACTTACTGGCACTAAAGCCTTATAAGAAACCTGAACTTATTCTCAGATTGCAGAAGGATGGACTTTCTCAGCAGGACAAGGATTTGCTGGACAACCTTCTGCAACAGGTTTGTACTCTGGTAAAGGGAAACGTCTTTCAGGATGGTGGTACCTCTGTGTTAGTCTGAGAGTAACCTGCGTGTCTCAGAGCTGCAGCCAAGTGTTCTCTGAGGCTGTGACCAGCTGCACTTCACATGAATTGGACGTACAACACTCGTGTGTACAGCTCGGGTTGGGTGCCCCCAGCTAAGCTGCATGAGGGCAGTTCACCAGATCAGCTGCTTAAGAGGAACACTTGTGGTTGGTCGTGGGGAGAATGAGCTGACAGAGGCCCTACGAGCTGTTTGATTTGTTATAACCTATAAATCTATATATTTTGATTAACATGGGCGTAAGGGAGCACGTTCTGTCTCAATCATGTAAAGCTTCCTATGTGAAGGAGAAAACACGTCCCTTCTCCGCAAAGCTTTACATGTTCTTTGGATTGTTCAGACCTTTCCTGCTTAGAAGTGCAACTGGTTAGGTGTGAAGATCAGGCAGCTTCTTGCAAAGCATATTATTTGTATGTCAAGTGTGAAAGCTGTCTCCAAGCTGAATCAGTTCTTAACACTTTGAGTCATGTTGAAGGTGCCATTTTAGGAATTGCAGTAAATACCTTTATTGCTCTCGCAGTGCAGAACACATCATGGGGATTTATTTCAGTGCTGCAGCTGCCCTCTTCTGTGCTGGCTGGTTTTTACCTCCCTTCCTTTCTGAAAGGAGGAGGCAGTGGGGAGTGAGTTTGCCCAAGGGCACGGGGCAGCTCATGTTGAAAATGAGAGCTGGCACAACTCGCACCTTCCCCAGGTGTTCATCCAGCAGCGCTCACGTTCTGCTGAGCACCCTTCCGAATGCTATAAATAGCTCTGGGGCTCGAACTGCTCTTTCTGATCATGACCCATCCGTGATGCTCCGCACACTGCGGCGCGTTCGGCTCTGTTGGGCTAAATGCTGATCTGGCTGTAAACATGTTGCTCGTAAACTTAATCTCCTTTCAGTGCTACCAGGGCTCCCGTCCACAAGCAGGCACAGATAAGCTAAAAATTACAGGCTGCATTAAAGCTGCGTGTCTAAATACGTCTAGGTGTGGGTTTCGTTGTACTCTTGCATCTCTCAGAGGACTCTCTGTTCCTGCTGGCCTTTTTGCCTCATTTTGCAAGGTTTCTATTTTTGGGAAGCCCGGGGTGGAGCTTGCACAGTCCCACACCAGCAAAACAAGGAGGTAGCAGCTCTCAGCCTCTGTGCAGAGAAAATGTGAGGAGTCTTCTGCTCGGGGCCTTGCCGAGCACCAGCAGGAACCAGAGAGATTCCCAGAGAGGTTTTGCTAAGGAGCCTGGCTTTGCTGTTGTCTCTTGGGCATGTTTGGGATATCTCAGTGTAAAACACAGCTCAGATTCTGCTTGGATTTTGGCTCGGGGTTTTGGAAGGGTGACAGAACTGAAAGGAAAAACAAAGTGTTTGTCATGTAAACTGATAAGTGCTTTCTATTTTTCACTTATCAGGAGGGCTTTGCTGTGTGAGTTCGGCAGCTTTTTGCTTTGCAATTCATGGAGGTTTAATACTGGGTCACAGTCTCCCTAAAGCAAAAGCAGAGGAATTAACAGCATCTTGGGTTAATTCAAGGCTTTTCCCTCCTTCACTTGCTTTTCTGAGTCTTCCTGCTGCGTGGATAATAGAGCTTCCTTAGCACGACCATCTCCCGGCTGGGGCGAGCGGAGCAGAACACTGATCCTTACCCACCTGCACCATTCCTCCCCTGACTGAATACAACCAGCTTCCAGTTTCAAGTTGTCAAATGGGGCGGCTGAAGCAGGATTTTGGGATGCAAGTTTCCCAGCTGTGGGCACAGCATTTGGCACCTCCCTACCCCTTCAGAAACACTAATGTAAGGCTGTTTTCTACGCCTGCAGTGCTGAGACAGTGGCTGTGGAAGCTTCACTGGGGCTTTGCTTTGTGCTCACACTGTATTATCAGCCGTGTAACCAGCAGCAAGAAGTTAAATTCTCAGTCCAGCTGTGGAAAGACTGATCCAAGTGGGATAACTCTTAACAAGTAGTTTCCATTCTAATACCATTCCGCTGGTTCCAGCGGTGGTTCCAGGCCATGCAGGCCCCGTGCCGGGCTTTGCAGGGAAACTGCAAGTGACAGGATTGGGTAAAGTGTCACAAAGCTGCTGGTGCAAGTGCACTGAGCGAGCTGCAGCGTGGGATTTAGGTGCAGTGTAAAACCCTGGCTTCTAAGCTGGTAATCACAGGTTTTGCTCTTGTCCTGAAGCACCTTAGCAAGGTTCTCCTCTGAAATCCAGCAGCTGATCCCAGTGCACTGAACCACACGGTGGGATCTGCAGGCTCCCCGCTGCACTATTTCTACAAGGCATTCCCTTCACTGCTGCTTGAGAAAGTCCCTTTTCTGTCCCTGTTTTGCTGCTTGCTCAGGAGAGATTATCTCTGGCAATTGTTAACTAAGCTGTCGCCGCGAGAGTTCCTGCATCAGCTAATGAACTGCTGCAGCCGGGTTATCGGGCAGGGCTGAGAAGTGAACTGCCTGTTCCCAGGAGGGGTTATTTCCAGGTATTTCCATAAACTGCTGTTGGACTGTTCCAGACTATCCAAGCTGAATAATCACTTTAGGTAGGACTTGTTTCCCAGTAAACGAGGGCAGTGCCAAGGCAAAAGGCAAGGCACAGTTTGATAAAATCATCTAAATAATTAGCAAATGCAGTATAAAACCCCTCCTTGTTCTCTGACACTGAACTGCTGCAGCATTCCTACACCTTTGATCTCTTTGGTTAGAAGAAGTGAGAAGATGAAACCCTAACAGGCTTTCTTTTTCACATTCCTTTTGTCTCAGGTGGCAAATTTGAGTGCCAAGGACAGCACTTTCACACTGAAAGACTGTGTATACAAGGAAGTGCAGAAGGACTGGCCTGGCTACTCTGAAGGAGATCAGCAGTTGCTGAAGAGGATACTTGTCCGGTAATTATTCCATCTTCTCTGTAATGGCATCTGGAGCTTGAAAGTTCTGGGCCAGGTCAGTTGCTATAATCGGGGTACCTGAAGTCAGAGCTACGGTAAGTTGAGCGTTCGACTTGGTTTAACATCAGGTAAATCTCTTTGTCATCCAGGCAGCTGTAGAAGCTGACTCAAGTTGACTCTCAAAGTGGATGCACTCTTCACATCATCCTAGGTTGCCTTCAATCGTGATGCTAAAAACTAGGGGGAAAACATGGATGGGAAGCAAAAGAGATTACAGTTCAAGTTAACGGTGGCTTCAAATCCTGGGGGAGAAATGGATTGAGGCAAACGTGTCCAGCTCAGCTCTCCATTGAAACTCTCCTTGCCTTTTTCCATGTCTTCTTGTACATGGCTTCCTGTGCAGGCTGCCACGTGTGTCAAGGCAAGGAGAGAGACGTTGCAGCCCCGTCCCCCATCCTCAGCTGCTCTTTTCCAGTGGGTGTCCTTGTCCCCCTTGAGCTATTTGCTTTGGAGACTTTGCGGCTTCATTTGTGTCCTGTTACTTGGATGTTGGTTTCCTGCGTGGTTCTTGTGTTTGTTGCATGTTCTGTCAGTGGTACAGTCATCAGGCAAGAGCAAGACTTGGTTGAAGGAAGGGATGTGTGAGAAAGCAAGAGGTAGTTCTATAGAGGTAACATCCCTAAAATACCTGCTGGGTGTCCTGTTGCCCATCCAGCCTAATCCTCTGTCCAGGGGATGCCTGTTCTCATGTTCCTTCCTGAAAACAGCCTTTACGAGAGTGAGTTGATAGGTTTGTCTCCTTAGTTGCTGAAGATTTTTTTCCTCTGCGGATATTTTTCCTCAGGGGAACCTCCAAGCTTGGAAGCTTCTGGCTGGCAGGCAGCAGGGGAAGAGTGGATCTCTCAGCTTCCTAAAGGAGAGCTCTGCTCTGAGTGTTTCTGTTTCCCTCTCTGGCTTTGTGGTGTGTTTGTACTGACTCGGTCCAGGTTTTGTAAGGCAGATAGAGACTTCACTTGGTTTTGAGACTTACTTGGTTGCACTTTTGGTATAGCTGAAGTAGAGCGTGCTCTGTTTGAACAGTTTCCATGATTTGAAAGCACAATTGTCTCGGAGATGAGACTTTGTTAAACCAACAGAAACTTGCATTTAAAGTGCTTTGGTGTGCTGAAGAGAAATCAGACTCATTTAAAAGGCCTGGATGTTGAATTAGAATGAAAAGGAAGCATCTAACTGCCGTGGAGTCCTTAAGGCTTCCGAACGAGTGAATTTCTCCCTGTCAAAAGCAATGTTTACTGCTTCTTTTCTAGAATTGTGGCATTCGGTTATGCAAAGGTCTAAAAATAGCCCTTGGGAAGGATGTATTGAACTGTGCAAACAAAGCCCCGCTTGGGCAGTGCAGGTAATGAGGCTCCAGAGTGGAAAAACATGCAGGGCTGAAGACAGTAGAAAAACCACCCCGAGAAAGGGCACAAGCCCCGGACGCAGCCTTTACGTAGCTGGCGGAGGCGGCCGCGGTTGCCTGGATCCAGCCAGTTGTTAAATGGCCCCTTGGTTTTCAGGTCCATTTGTGGTTCAG